AAGTGAGTGGGAGCAGGGACAGGAAGGCCCAAGGGAGAGAGAATCTTAATCAGACTCTTTGCTGAGCATGGAGCCTGACGTGGGGCTCGGTCTCATGACCCTGAGATCATGACCTAAGCCGAAATCAAGAGCCAGACACTTGACTGGCTGAGCCACCCAGGTGCCCCTCCAGATGTTACTTTAGTTTCAGGTGTACAGTGTAGTGATTCCACAAGTTTGTACAGTTATGCTCTGCTCACTACAAGTGTAGCGACCATCTGTCACCCTATTACAATACCATTGACTGTATTCCCTATGCTGTACCTTTCATCCCCATGACTTACTCATTTCATAACTGGAAGCTTGTACCTTCCACTCACCTTCATCCATTTTGCCCATCCCTCCACCTCCCTCCCGTCTGGCAACCATCAGTTCTCCATATTTATGAATCTATTTCTGCTTTTTGTTTGTTTTGCTTTTTAGATCCTACATATAAATGAAATTATGTGGTATTTGTCTTTCTCTGACTTACTTCATTTGGATAATACCCTCTAGGTCCATCCATGTTGTCACAAATGGCAAAAATTGCCTTTTTCATTGCTGAGTAACACTTCGTTGTGTGTATATACATCTTTTTTGTCCATTCATCTATCAAGGGCACTTGGGTTGCTTTCCATATCTTGATTATTGTAAGTAATGCTGCAATAAACATAGGGGTACATAGATCTGTTCAGATTAGTATTGTCATTTTCTTTGGCTAAATACCCAATAATGGAATACTAGATAATATGCTATTGTTAATTTTTTGAGGAACCTCCATGCTGTTTTCCACAGTGGCTACACCAATTTACATTTCCACCAACAGTGCACAAAGGTTCCTTTTTCTCCATATCCTCGCCAGTACTTATTTCTCGTCTAATACCAGCCATTCTGACAGATGTAAAGTGATATCTCATTGTGGACTTGATTTGCATTTCCCTGATGATTAGTGATGCTTAGGATTTTTCCATGTGTCTGTGGGCCATCTGTATGCCTTCTTTGGGAAAATGTCTGTTCAGGTCCTCTGCCCATTTTTCAGTCAGATTGTGGGGTTTTTTTCGTGTTGAGTTGCATTAGTTCTTGCATAATGTTTTAGACATTAACCCCTTATTGGATATATCATTTGCAAATATCTTCTCCCACTTAGTAAGTTGCCTTTTTGATTTGTTGGTTTTTCTTTGCAAAAGCTCTTTATTTTGGTGTAGTCTCAGTAGTTTATTTTTGCTTTTGTTTCCCTTGCCTGAGGAGACATATCTAGAAAAATGTTGCTAGGGCTGCTGTCAAACAAGATTATTGCCTACGTTTTCTTCTAGGAGCTTTATGGTTTCAGGTCTCACATTTAGGTCTTTAATCCATTTTTATTTTTGTGTATGGTGTAAGAATTCTTTTGCATGTAGGTGTCCAGTTTTCCCAACAACCATTTATTGAAGGGACTGTCTTTTCCTTATTGTATATTCTTGCCTCCTTTGTCATAGTGTAATTGACCATATAAGCATGGATTTATTTCTCGGCTCTCTATTCTGTTCCATTGATCTATTTTTGTGCCAGTACAATACTATTTGGATTACTGTAGCTTTATAGTATATCTTGAAATCTGGGATTGTGATACCTCCAAGCTTTGTTTTTCTTTTTCAAGGCTGGTTTGGCTATAAAGGGTCTTTGGTAGTTCCATACAAATTTCAGGATTATTTTTGTTCTAGTTCTGTGAAAAATGCTATTGGTATTCTGATAGGGATTGTATTGAATCTGTAGATTGCTTTGGATAGAATGGGCATTTTAACAACATTAATTCTTTCAATCCATGAGCATGGAATGTCTTTCCATTTGTGGCATCTTCAATTTCTTCCATCAGTGTTTTTGGTGCAATTGTAAATGGGATTGTTTTCTTAATTTCTTTCTGCCACTTTGTTATTAGTGTATGGAAATACAACAGATTGCCATATATCAATTTTGTATCCTGCAACTTCCAAATTCATTTATTCTAATAGTTTCTTGGTGGAGTATTTAGGGTTTTCCTTTTTTAAATAAGATTTTATTTATTTTAGAGAGCTCGTGAGTGGGGGGAGGGGCAGAGGGAGAGAATCTTCAAGCAGACTCTCTGCTGAGTGCAGAGCCCAACACAGGGCTTGATCTCATGACCCATGAGATCATGACCTGAGCCAAAACCAAGAGCTGGACACTTAACCAACTGAGCCACCCAGGTTCCCCTAGGGTTTTCTATATATAGTATCTTGTCTTTTGCAAATAGTTTACTTTTTCCTTAATTTGTATGCCTTTATTTCTTTTTCTTGTCTAATTGCTGCAGCTAGAACTTCCAGAACTATGTTAAATAGAAGTGGCAAGAGTGGACATTCTTATCTTATTTCTCATGTTAGAGGAAAAGCTCTTAGTTTTTCACCACTGAATATGATGTTAGCTCTGGGCTTGTCATATGTGGCCTTTATTATGTTGAGGTATGTTCCCTCTAAACTCACTTTGTTGAGAACTTTTATCATGATTAAATGATGAGTTTTGTTAAATGCTTTTTATGCATCTATTGAGATGATCATATGCTTTTTATACTTCATTTTGTTAATGTAGTGTGTCACGTGGCTTGATTTGCAAACATTGAACCGTCCTTTGCATCCCCAAAATAAATCCCAGTTGATCATGGCGAATGATTCATTTCATGTATTGTTAAATGAGGTTTGCTGATATTTTATTGGGAACTTGCACCTGTGTGCATCAGAGCTATTGGACTGTAGTTTTTTTTTTATAATGTCTCTGGTTTTTGTATGAGGGTAATGCTGGCCTTGTAGAATAAATTTGGAAGCTTTACTTCCTCTTCTGTTTTTTGGAATAATTTGAGGAGACTAGGTATTAACTCTTCTTTAAATGTTTGATAGAATTCACCTGTGAATCCATCTGGTCCTGGACTTCTATTTGTTGGGAGTTTTTGATTACCAATTCAATTTCATTACTAGTAATTGATATGTTCAGATTTTTCTATTTTTTCCTGATTCAGTTTTGGAAAACTGTTTTTAGGAATTTATTCATTTCTTCTAGATTATCCAATTTGTTGGCATATAATTTTTGTAGTAGTCTCTTTTGTATTTCTATGGTGCTGGCTGTTTTCCTTTGTTTCTGATTTTATTTTGCCATTTTTCTTAATGAGTCTGGCTAAATGTCAATTTTGTTTCATTTTTTTCTATTGTGTTTTTACTCTATATTTCCTTTATTTTTGCTCTAATCTTTATTATTTCCTTCCTTCTACCAACTTTGAGCTTTTTCCCTTTTTTTCTAGTTCCTGTAGGTATAAGGTTAGATTGAGTTTTTCCTGAGGTACACCTGTATTTGCTGTACATTTCCCTCATAGATGTCCCTTTAGGGCATCCCAAAGATCTGGATCACTGTGTTTTTATTTTTGTTTGTTGAGTAGCATGTTGTTTAGTCTCCACATGTGTTTTTTTCCAGTTTTTTTTTTTTCTTATAATTGATTTCTAGTTTCAAACTGTTGTGGTCAGAAATGATGCATGATAGGATTTCAGTCTTCTTAAATTTATTGAGACTTGTTTTGTGGCCTAACATGTGATCTAGCCTAGAGAATGTACCATGTGCACTTGAAAAGAATGTATATTCTGCTGGGTTTGGATGGGATGTTCTGTATATAATCTGTTAAGTCCATCTGGTCTAATGTATCATTCAAAGGCACTGCTCCCTTCTAAAGGGAGAAAATGACAGTAATCTAATAATAGTAGGAGACTTTAACACCCACTTACATCAATGGGTAGATCATCCAGGCAGAAAATAACTATCTGTTAATATTTGCTTTATGTATTTAGGTATTCCAGTGTTGGATGCATAGATCTTTACAGTTAGATTTTTAGATCCTCTTGTTGGATTGATCCCTTTATCATTACGTAAAGCCCTTCGTTGTGTCTTTAAGTCTATTTTGTCTGATATAAGTATTGCTTCCCCAGCTTTTTTATAAGTACATATCTGTCATTAATTATTTTAAAAGTAAATGGTCTAAATGCTCCAGTTGAAAGACATAGAATGAAGGAATGGAGAGAAAACAAGACCTATCTATATATGCCAACAAGAGACTCACTTCAGACCTAAGGAGAGAGACTGAAAATGAAGGGGTAGGAAAAGATACTCCATGCCAATGAAAACAAAAAAAAGTCCATGTAGCAACACTTATATCAGGGCCCCTTTCTTTAAATGCAAATTTTTCCATTTAGAAAAATAACATGTTTGTTATAAACAATCCTAAAGTATTTAGAAAAAGAAAAAAAAAAATCCAGGGACTAGTGTCAAAAGACAACTGCCTTGTCATGACTTTGATGCTTGCAGAAGCTGTTGAAGGACTCCAGGAGGTTTAAATGATATTTTGATGGGGCACCTGGGTGGCTCAAGGAGTTAAGCATCTGCCTTCAGCTCAGGTCCTGGGCTCAAGCCCCACATCAGGCTCCCTGCTCAGTGGGAAGTCTTTTTCTCCCTCTGCCCCTTCCCCCAACTCTCAAATAAATCTTTAAAAAAAAATAAAAAATGATCCTTTGATGAAGTAGCATTACAAATGTCATCTGCAGGTTCTATTCTTACTTACACAGTAGATGCTCTGTTAAGTGTTAATTTATTAAGTAATTTAAATATTTTAATCTACTAAACATACAAGAGTCAGCTTGAGTGTGTACTTTGTGTTTTAGGTACTCTACAAAATTTGAATATGTAGCTTAATTATGGTGTTATCACCAGTGCTCCATCAACATGAATTTCACCTCAGTGTTCTGCAAGCAGGCAGGAATGATGCAATTATTAGGAAGTCAGAACTGTTTAACCTTTATGGCTATCAAAATAGCATAAATAATGGTAAATATTAACTTTTTCTGCAACAAATAATCTTTTCCCCTCAGAAATGAGGTGTGCTTATGTTTAATCCAAGCCTTGGCAATATTTTTAAAAGAAAAAAAAAAAGGAATGGCTAATCTGACGTAGCAAAAATGCATATAGATAGCCAGAAGGAACAAGCCTTTATGCCTTATCTTTTTTATTACCTTCCTTCTGTTGTCAATTTTTCCCCAGGCCCAGATTATATCAAACAGAGATTTCAGGAAGGTGTAGATGCTAAAGAAAATCCAGAAGAAAAAGTACCGGAAAAGCCACCTACACCAAAGGAATCTCCTCATTTTTATCGCAAAGGCACGACACCCCCCAGGTCTCCTGAAGCAAGTCCCAAACAAAGCCACTCTGCCCAGCCCTCCTCCCCAAAACCCACAAAGAAGCAGAACCCCAGCTCAGGGGCAAGACTCAACCAAGACAAACGGAGTGTGGCTGATGAGCAGGTGACAGCCATCATCAATAAGCCTTTGATGTCAAAGGCTCCCACAAAGGAGGTGGGAGCCATGGTGCCCACGTCCAAGTACTCTGGCCGCCACCACATCCCCAACCCCAGTAATGGGGAACTGCATTCTCAGTACCACGGCTACTATGTGAAACTGAACGCCCCCCAGCACCCCCCAGAAGACGTGGAGGAAGAGGAAGGATCAAGCCCGTCTTCCTCAGCGCTGGTGCACAAGCCAGCACCCAACAAATGGAGTCCCCCTAAATCTGTGACAAAACCAGTTGCCAAAGAAAGCAAAGCTGAGCCAAAAGCTAAGAAGTCTGAACTTGCTATACCAAAGAATCCAGCAAGCAACGATTCATGCCCTTCTTTGGAAAAAGAAGCCAATTCAGTAAGTTGTGCACGATGTGTTTTTTTGCTTCCTTTTGGTTCCTTCAGGTAGCAGTGTAGGGTGACTTGCATCTTGATGACAGCTTGTCTGGCAAAAGTCCTGACGAGCATAGGACTACGTAGGATAGAGCTTAGCACATTTGTAGCCTGAGACAGCAAAGAGCTCTTGGGGCAGAAATTTGTCCCTGTCCCCTCAGTCACCCATCTTAAACATCATTCAGGTAGCCAGCTTGTTACTGAATCATGTGTTAGCAAGCCTTTCCCCACACTTCTTGGTAAGTTTTGTGGTAGCTTAGTTTGAGCTGCTATGACAAAAATGCCATAAACTGGGTGGCTTAAACAACAAAATTTCTGCTTTCTTCTAATTCTGGAGGCTGGGAGTCCCAAGATCAAGGTGCCACAGACTTGATGTCTGGTGAGAACCCAATTCCTGGTTCATAGGCCTTCTTGCTGTACCCTCCCAGGGCTGAGAGAAACAGCACACTCTCTCATGTCTCCTACAAGGGCACTAATCCCCTCATGAGGGCTCCACCCTCATGACCCAGGGCCCCCCTCCAAATACCATCACACTGGGGATTAGGGTTTCAACATATGAATTTTGGAGGAGCACATGTAGCTAACTCTCTGATTGATTGCCTAGAAAGGAATCGTGGGCACTGACAAGGGCCGGGTCCTCTCACAGCCCTAGCTGGGAAAAGAGTTCCACCACCAGTTGCTAGGTTCTTAGCCATGCTCTTGAGCCTCACAAAAGACATAAAGGAATGGATAGAAAACAAGACTTATTTATGTCTGTGTGCCTAGAAGAGACTCACTTCAGACCCAAAAAGACAGACTAAAAGTGAAGGAGAAGGAAAAGATACTCCAGTCAGCATCTTTAGACAAAAGAACATTTTTTGTAGCTATTGTGAATTATTCTCCTAAATAGTTTGGATTTTACTCAATTAGGCTTTGCCACTAGAACATTGTTTTTCTTTTCAACTGTTTAAAATTACTTTGGTCTTCTAACTTCTCAGTATAAGTGCTTCTAAAAGTTTAGTTTTCTGGTAAATGCTAGTTTTATATTCAATTAGTCTTGAGCATTTAAGGGTTTTAATTAGTCAACCAGAACACTATTTGTTATTGATAAGTGTCATTTGATGAGCATGTAGAGATTTGAATAACATATGGAATTAATACTTTATCAAATTCTATAGAATTTATAAAATCCTGAAGCTAAGTAATTATTAATAAAAAATTGACCAACTGATCTGTTGACCTAGTCACATGTTTTTGGAACAGAGGTGTTGCATGTTAAATGTAGCTTAGGGAAGAAGCCACAGCTGACCCAATATTTACTAATTTCTGAGACATTTGCATAAAGGTGCAGATTGAGAGTTGTATTATATTCTTGTTGACCAACTTAAACTGAACAGACAAAAGAAAAAAACAGGTTTGAACAGTAACAACGTTAAACAATTGAAATGCATCTTTTTTTATTAACTTAAATTTGCTGTTTCTTAGGTTTATTTTGCTAACATTTACAAACACTGGTTCTCATCTTTTTTATCATCTACGTCTAAATTAATCAGATTAACTACGTTAACTTCCTGAGAGTCATCCTCCATGGGGATAAATGGTTTTTAAGACAAACGAAGTTGACTAGTTTGCCTGATTTACAAGGGTGAAATTCAAACAATGCAAGGCCATATAGTTTCTACCTTGCAGTATCCAGTAGTGGGGTTCAGTTGACCTCTAGAACTGCCTAAGAGGAAGTGAATGGCCCAGTGTCCTACACACAGTCTGTGAAATGTTACTACTGTGTGATAAATTCACAGCCTCCTTATTTAGGAAAAGTATCTTTTTTACTTATGTGCAGAACCATCTGATTCTTGGAGGTAGCCAAGCATCCTGCAGCCTGGTAGGCTGGTCTCTAGGGCTCCCTTCCACATCCCAGGAGAAAGGAGGCCTAGCCCTCTGCAGCCTCTGTGCATGACAGGAACCGGAAGTCAAGATTGCCTTGGCACCGGGACGCCTGGGTGGCTCAGATGGTTAAGCGTCTGCCTTCAGCTCAGGTCATGATCCCAGGGTCCTGGGATCGGGTCCCGCATCGGGCTCTCTGCTCCTTGGGAGCCTGCTTCTCCCTCTGCCTCTCTCTGTCTCTCATGAATAAATAAATAAAATCTTTAAAAAAAAAAATCCACTGACCTTAAATGAGGCTTTATTAAAAAAAAAAAAAAGATTGCCTTGGCACCTTCATGTGAAGATTTTAACAGTTAACCTTCTTTTCCTGATCATAACACAAAACTGCCTTTCACACTCCTGACGACTGTTTTCTTGACAGTTTAGAAGTGATAAAATGATCATGAAGGTAGCTAATGAACCACCTTTAAAACTAAGGAGTACTGCGTACAATTTTGAGATAGACACTGTGTAAGTTAGAGGTTTATAAATAACTTGAAAACTCAAAGGAATATTCACAACGAAGCACACACTGGAGGGAAAAACCAGACTGAAGCGGTGTTCGTTGTGGGCAACCGAGACATCTAGTATGAGTCAGAATCGTCATTTTTCGGGTTGTTGAATACACTGGGATCTGGAATTTTAGTCACCAGCTTATTGACTGAGACAGGATACGCTGGTGGCTAAGGCTGTGGACTCTGGTGCCAGACTTCCTAGGTTCAAATCCCAGTTGTGTTGCTTCTCAGTTGTGTGACCTTGGGCAAGTTTCCTACCTGCTCTGTGAGTTGTTTTCCTCATCTCTACCTATATCATGGGGCTGTTTTGAAGGTTAAATGAGTTAGTACTTACACAGCTCTGAGCACAGTGCATAGCACATGGTAAGTGCTCAAAAAGCAGTGGCCATTATTGTCCCAATACTGTAGTCGTTGAAGCATAAAATAGTTCATAAATATTCCAGTAGATTTTGACCCATCCTCAGGACCACCCTGGATAGCCATCTCCTAGAAAAACAGAAAACCTTCTGAGACACAGGCTAATACTTAGCAAATTTAACTACTTGATATAAGCAGTAAGAGATGGGGGGCTATGCCACGGATTACGCTATAACCTTCTTGAGAAACGTTGGACTCCTGTGGGCCATGGTTGCACACAGACTGATATTCCATGGAAACACATTCTGTGCGGTACCCGCCTCTTTGTAGGATTTTGCAGCATGGGTAGGATCCAGGAGAGACCTCATTACAGCCTGATCATCAAACAGACTAGCAAGGAGTCTTCTAATTCGCAATCTTGACTCCTTCTGAGAACTGCCTGCACTTTTTCTTAGCCATTACTCTCTTCCAGTTCTATTTGGAAATTAAGGCATCCCTGTCACGTCAATTTTGAACCAAGTACACACACACTAAAACCCTACAAACAGTAAATACATATAAACTTGCCTATTTATACTAAATTCAATTTTTTTTCTTTTCATGTTTTTAGAGAAATTTTAGATTTAACAGACTATAGTAACTCTTCAGAAGATTCCTCAGTTTTAAATGAGTAATAGTCTTTTGAAGAAAAGATACATTTCTTGAGTTAGAACTTCATATTTCCATATTTCCCCACACTTTATTTTCTAACTGCCTAAAAGTTCTTCCAATCCAGATTTGCACTTTGCCCTGCTACAGCTCCTTTTATTACACCTGTCTCAGTCAGTCTTGAAAAGCAAGACTGATTTTTTTTTTCATTCTGCTATTTTAAGCTACAACTGGCTACCACAGTCATGTTTATGAGACTTCATCTTAAAGCTTTCCACCCTGTGTCCAGCCTAGGTACCTGAAGAACACCGAGGTCACGTCTTGAGATCTGCCTATTAAACATTAGCATCCCAGAACTTATTTGCCACCTGATTGCTGTTTGAATTTTTTATTGCTGCCTTATCCTCATCTGCACTGAATCATCTTTAAAAAAAGCTTTATAAATGGAGTTGTACAGTTGGATAAATATATATACATGTCTATATATTTATATATAAATATGTACATGTATACATATATATATATATCTCCATCCAGAAATGCTAATGAATTCAAAAAGTTAGATAAACTCATAGAACCTTGTAAGGATTTATGAAATGGGAGTTAAAAGTCCAGACACAGCTTAGACTTTTGAAGTTAGATTCACTGAAGGCACTTTCTCTGTTTTTCTACTTTTCCTTGGTCCACTATAAGACACTGAACTCTACATTGTGTTGTTCTGACCTCATATACTTTTCCTCATCTTTAATATCACTGTCTTCAGGAATTATGAATTAAATCCACTGGCCCAAAAGAGTTACATGAATCCAAACTTAATATATTCATGAGCAAAATCTAATCAAAGTTTGTGATAGTATTAGCATTTCCTTAATCTCCATGCTGAGTTATGTTGAAAGATTTCAGTTATTTTCTGAGTTATGTTTCCTACACTAGACATTTTAAGTTAATCATTGTTGAAGAGTTACATAGATTTGAACCCTCCTAGTACCTTAGAATACAACTATTCTAAAAGAACAATTGGTCCTATCAAGATTTGATTGGTTTTCTGCTACCACGAAATCAGAGGATATAGATGAAAATGCCATTTTCAAGAACTTGATTAGAAATTATTATTTTTAAACTAAGGCCTATAGCTATACAGGGATATAGGGGGAAAAAAAAACAGCTCTGAAGTAGACAAAGTTTAATTTTAGTTTTGTAATTTGCTTAAACTGGATGAGTAACCTTGGGCAAGACTTACCTTCTCGGAGCTCTGTAACTTGTAATCACCTGTGAAGAAGAAATAATATACCCAACAATACTTATTATTAGCCCACTGCCTGGCATATAAAGACCTGCAATAAATGTGCTTTTTCCTCCCCTTTACTTGGGGTTTAGGAACTAGGGTTTTTCTTCTTCCTAGTAGTCCCCATCTCAAGGATACCCATTTTTACTTCCTTTTCTCCCCCACTCTGATTTTACTAATCACCTTGTTCTTCATTTAAGGCAGTGAATTAATAAGGTCAACAACCACATCTACAACACCTGGAAAAATACCAGAAGATAGCGGGTGTTCATAATGAAAACCTGGATGAATTGGGTGACCCATATGTGCCGGGTGCACGGCGGTGAACAAAGCACAGCTCCCACCACCATGGAACTCAGTCTAGGGCAAAGACGGAGATTAACAAGAAGTGACAAAGTGCGAAGTGTTATGAGAAACGAAAACCAGGACACTCTGACCCCTGCCAGGGAGGTTGTGGCCCCAGCTGGGGAGGAGACCTCCTATAAGGATGTGACCCAAGCTCTATATCTTGCAACATGAGCACTGGACCAATTGCAATTCCAGTCTTTCTTACCTCCCCGCCCCCCCTCCAAAAATCACACCAGTACCACATTTGAGGACTCTGTTATCCTGTTTCAATGTAGCCTCATTCAGTATTCAAATCTAGTACAACTGTTTCCTCATCTGTAAAATAACAATTAAAATACCCCACCCACCTCATAAGGCCAGTTTAGAACACAGTTAATATTAAAAAATTAGACACTATTTTAATAGTAAATACCAAGATCAGGTCTCTGTAATAAAGATGGTCAAGCATGAGCAGCTCTTGAACAATGGGTCAATAAGGTTGGCTTTTTAAACAAGTAAAGAAAGTTTGGATACCTTGGCTAGCTGGTATTTATTACAGCCGTATTTATCAAAATAGGATTCTGCAGTTTAATAGAACTTGATTTCTGAAACGTGGTGGCTGTGAGCAAAGAAGTGAAGAATTAAGACCTGTAAGATAATTTCTGCAAGTGTTTAACTTCCCGCTTGCAATTTTTACTTTAAGGATGGGGTGGTATCCAAAACTCTGACCAGGAAAAGCAAGAGTCCTAAATTTTTCCTGAGAGGCCTCAGTACCCCTAAAGATTTTAGTCTTACTTTCTAATTGCCTTCATGAGGAAATAATTCATCTAAATTACACCTTAACAAAAAGTGTGCGTATCCACTCTCCATTAGTCCCTCACCCCATTATGGCGAACTCTCACCCAGACTGCTGTTGTCAGATGTTCTGAGGTGAATGAACTAGATTGTTAGTCATTTTTTTTTTTTTTTAGATTTAATCAGGACTGGATTCATTTCATAGTGAAAGTGCGGAGACGGCTGCACCTAAATACGGCATTGCTATTTTTAGTTTATACCTTTTGGAGCTGCTGTCATTCACTGCAACGGGGTTGAAGTTTTTATTTATTTATGTATTTATTTGTTTATTTTTTGGGGGTAATTGATTTTATGAGCTAGCTTACATGTGGATATTAATATGGAAACATTATGCTTGTTTTGTTCTGTTTCATTTCCAGGGCCCTAATTCAGTCATGATTGTCCTCGTCATGCTGTTGAATATCGGGTTGGCCATTCTTTTTGTTCACTTTCTAACTTGATTGGAATTAGGAAAGGTAAGAATAGCCTTAATTTCTATATAAAATCACCATCTATAACATTCTTTTCCCATTATTTCAATTTACTTTTTTTTTAAACAACTGCATATTGTCCTTCACTTTAATTTTGGCTGTGCCTGAATGTGATTCAACATAGTTACTTAATGCTGTAACTGTTTTGACCCTTCAGTGAAGTTATGACAACTAGCGGTGTTAGCCCACAGTTCTCTGCCGTGGCATCATCAGCCCTTTAAATGGCACACCCCAGTCAGACTCAGACTCAGGGAAGGAGGCTTGGAATTAGGATGGGATCGCGAAAGAGATGAAACTTGGAAAATTCAGCCAGAGGACCTGTTCGGTCCCCCTGGGAATGCTTGGTGGCTTTGGGGTCCTCTGGGAGCTGAAGCAAGCAGCCGTGTTGGAGAGCAAAACTTAATAATCATTCTCTCTTAAAATCTGCTGAAGCAGCCCCCATCCGGCGAAGTTCTTGGCATTGGCTACTCCATCTGTCCTAGCAGAGTGTGACTAAACTGGAAATGTATGGAGCTGCACTTTTTTTTTTTTTTCCTGATGGAAGTCAACAGCTGCCTTACTATTTTACCATCTGACGTTTTTAGTAGGGAGCTGGGAAAACAAACGACTGCCCGAAGAATGCGGTCGGAGGATTGTGTTGCTGCGGCCATGGTTCCAACATTCACTCCTATCTCATTAGAAGAAATAGGTAGCAGCATCACTCACCAGTCTTACGCCATGACCTGCTGCTTTCACATCTCCTGGAATGTTCTGGGAGAGAACGTTTCGTTTGCTTGTGCACGCCTCTGTTCATTCTTGCTGTTTATTGAAGTAGGATGTATAGCCCTCTACAATGTGTGGTCCTGGCTGGAGGAAACACACTTGTTGCATCTCAAGGAAAAGAAACAACAACATTCTAGAGAAGATGTGTTCGTTGCGATAGCAATACATCATTTTTTTTTTCATGCCGTTTAGTCTTCCTAAACCTGTAACAGGCTGTTTAAAATTTAGCAGTGATGAAGGCATTATACCTTCCTAAGAAATAATTTTAAATAGTTTTAATTATGCCCTTAGGAGGTGCTAAATTTTAAAAGCTGAAAGACAACAGAATTCTAAGAAGTGTAGTCAAAACGTTGCATGGATTGCAGTAATCAGTGTTTAAAGGATTCAGTTTCATTGCTGACGTACTTTACAACCAAATAAAATCTTGTCAGTGACTATGTTAATTCCCATGAAAGTTAAGCAAGATGCTATTAATAACTGCTCTGGTCTTTTTTTTTTTTTCTTCCAACTTAAATTTTTGTTGAATACATTCAGGTAGAGCGTAAAGCTTTGTTAAACCTCTGCTTCTCAATTTTACGCCTTTACGTGTGTTTCAAAGTCCTTTCGTAATTTTATTTCACATTTTAAAGGCTTAGACGTTTTTATTTAAATATTTGTCTTTTGCAGTCCTTTGTTATTCTGACATCTGATTTTTTTTTTTTTGCTGTTTTATAATTCATCCTTTATTACTCAGAAGCATGCTTATTACTTAGAGACACTACGTGGTCTTTATAAAGATAATTATTTAAAAAGAAATCAGGGGAGGAAAGGTATCTTAAATCTCTCTAAGACATTACATTGTGGAGAAGGAGCTAGCTATTCCTAAATATTTTCATGATCTGCATGGTTTAATCAGATTCTTGCTACCTTTTCAATGCAGAAGAGACCACTCACGTGTTAGCACAGGTGTGGACTGAATGCTTTGTCACCTGCAAGGTAGTAACCCAGTGATGTTTTTTGCAGAAGTGCAATATGTTGAGAATCCTGGGTGTGACCAATATGGAATAAAGAAGAAAGCAGAAAGAGAGCAAATGAAAATTACAACTTGTATATTTATTTATTTTTTACATTTTGCTTTGACTTTTAAATTTAGGAAGTACGTTTTTAGCCAAGAAACGTTTGAGCTCCTGTGTCAGTCTCCGTACTCTCACTGCGCCTTCCTAACCCCATAGCTCTTGATGCTGGGAAAGCGGATTTTTTTTAAAAAAATAAAATATTTAATCTTACTAAGTGTTTATTTAAAACGTGTAATGCTTTGGAAATAATGGGTAACAGATAACTAAAGGATATGTTTATAAAGTGAGCATGTTGTTTCCATTTATAAATATATGTATGATTTATAAGCTTTTTTAAAAACAAAGCTCAAATTGTTGGTATTTTTCTAAAATGTGCACAGCTGTATTTTACATGAAAGGCTCTTTCTAATGGGTTGTTATACTGTGCTCTACATTTTGGACAGCACATGAAGTCTGCCAATGTACTTAATAAAACATGACCTTGTTTATTTAAAGTTTCTTGCTGTGAAAAAGAACTCCCTACCTGTGAGTTCCTTTATTTATAATCCTCGAAACCAAAATGTATAATGTACAGTTTTCACAACTGTATCCGCTCTAATAAAAAGAGAAAGTTGGTTATTAAGTGTGTTTCCTTTGTGAGTCAATTACTGTCTTGAGTTATGTGGAATTTGGGGGTTGGTGGGTTGTATTAAGAGAAAGATCTGCTGACAAACTGACAAAAATGGGGTACAAAATGCTCAAAGCAGCCACAGGGGAGAAGGCAGTTGCACCATTATTTCTTTCTACGTTTCTTTCATCCTGGGCTTTCCAACCAATTTTGTAAAATAAGATTCATTTTCCTGCTTAGTGCCTTCATTAATTGGATTAGTTCCTTAGCCAGGGTTTTAAGTCTGCCCCTGTTGTTAAGGAAAACTCAAAGTTGGAGTAAATCCCCCTCCTGCACGGGTACTTTTCAAGAAATTAAAGTTTTTGGACAATTGTGCCTCAAATAAGTTAATATGTTGCTACGGCCCCTGTTGAGACACATTTCGGGAAGCTTAGGCACACTGTGCATAATAAACTTGCCGCCACTAGAATTTGCAGCCCCTGGGCTCCCTTTGAAGCCATCGGGTACCGGCCCAGGCCGCCCTGACACCTAGCAAGCTCCCTATGAGGGACAGTGAAAGGCCCGCCTCCAAAACAGCTTCCCAGGGAGCCGCAAACGAGCCACTCCTGCTGAAGGCTAAGGTCTTGGAGACCCCTATATGAAGAACGCATCAAGTTAGCACCTCTAAATAGTAAAAGATGGAACAGCTTAAGGGATTCATCTCCCAGTAAAATCTAAAAGAATGGAACACAGACTCTTCTGGAGCGGGTGGGAAAAAGCACAGGGTGCTAGAAAGATTATTGATTCCAGTTTCAGGTCCAAACCACAAGTTTTGATGGCTGAAGCCAAAGCTGGGGTAAAGACTCTGTGGTTGGGAAATCTGGAAAATACTCTATGTGCCCTTTTAATGCAATAACTGTTTCAGGAACTATGGTAAGCAGGCTCCCCAGGCATACACTCGATGCGACCCGCAGCCCTCCTCCCGTGCTCTGTAAACTTGCGTAGCCTCGTCTTTCCAACCCAGTATGTGGCTGCCCAAGGGGCTTATTCGGTCAGCACAGCATAACCAACAGCTCCTCAGGCTGGGTTTGATTAGCCAGGGTTTGGGAACTATCTACGTCCAGCATTTCCTTCTGCCCCCAAAAGTACTGACAAGTACTTCAGTGTTCTGTACTAGCCCCGATAGGAATCTCATGTATGGGAGTAGGAGGAAATAGCAAAATATACAGAATAAAATAAATAGTCCTGAATGCAGTGAATATGGATAAAATTCTCGGCTACGGTCGTGACTGATTATGGATTTTTCTCTAGTCTGTGCCCTGGTTTCCTCATCTCTAAAATGGGTGTAACCAGAGCGCTGACCTCACAGTGTGGTTGTGAAGGTGAAATGAGGTCATTTCTGTTAAGTGCTCAGTACAGTGCCTGGCTCATAGTAACTGTTGTGTTAGCTTTTGCCAGTTGGAGGAACTAGGGAAAAAAAATGTTAATTTCTGTAAGTGTCTCAAACACATTAAAAAATAGAGTGAGATCCCACTATAAAGGCCTCTTTTTAAAGCTTAATTATGTCACAGGTCATATTATGTTCTTTCTTCCTTTTTCACTGTGAAAATCAAAGGCCACCCTTCACCAGAGTTCCTTCTCTAAGCTAAAATGCAATTTTCTGTATAGTATGATGTGAGACATTTGCTTTACAAAGAATATTCACTTAAGTGACTCATTAGATTCTTACAAGATCCCTAGGGAAGAATTCCTGCATTTAAATGACTTGCCCAAGGGTAGCCAAAAAGTTACAAAAATTTGTATCTGAGTCCCAGATCGGATTCTAAATGTGCTTTTTCATTTCATATATTGGTTATTATTATTCCACACTGTCATACTCATCAACCATAAAAAGGCAGAAAACATGATCTGATTTAGGTAAACTATTAGAATTAACACAAAAGTGAGGGCCTGAGATTTGTTCAGCTAGTGATTGGTAAAGCAGCTCACTTACCACCGTAAAGAGTATATCAATCTTTGAAGAGAATTCTGGAGAGAAGATTTGGAGGGAGAGACAGACTCAGCAGAAGATTACAGTACTCATGTACAAGTCTTTCCTTTTCCCATCCTTGCCCCAAGCAAACTCATTCATGAAATATCAAGAACAACATCAGGTGTTCAATGGAATCATGACATTTGTTTAAGGGAAAGCAACAGAGGTCTTTGGTCTTAGGAATGTATGTCACATGTCACCTTCTTGCCATTTATGGCACATATTTGGAAGAAAAGAATCTGATCAATATCATGTCCCCCATGCAGTAAAAGCAGAAGCAAAGGTGAGAAGAAGCCAAAGGTCATCTAATTTTCTCATGTTCTGGGCATGTTCTAACAACAGCTTCTGACCACCAGAGCAAGTACCTAGAGTCAGGCAGCTGCTTCTGATAAAGGCCAAGAAGATGCTCAAACCTAGCATTGTTGTAGAGGTACCAGGTGATGGAATCCATCACCTAAAGATTCGCATTTTAAAAGCAGTTTTACATCAGATAATTGGGCCAAATAAAAGTGAGCGGAGGTTAGAAACATTCAGATCCACACAATATTTAAAAGGATAGACAGAATGCAAGTTGGTACAGCCACTTTGGAAAACAGTGTGGAGGTTCCTCAAAAATTTAAAAATAGGGCACCTGGGTGGCTCTGTCGGTTAAGCGACTGCCTTCGGCTCAGGTCATGATCCTGGAGTCCCGGGATCGAGTCCCGCATCAGGCTCCCTGCTCAGCAGGGGGTCTGCTTCTCCCTCTGCCCTCTTCCCTCTCGTGCTCTCTCTCATTCTCTCTCTCTCAAATAAATAAA